GGCAGCGGAGTGCAGGGGGGGGGGCTGTGATTTCCACCCTCCCTCATGTAATAGCGCTGGATGGCTCACAATTGCCCCATTGCTGAAACATGGGGCTGGGTAGAAGTCCAAAGCCCTGTGTGAGCTCTGACAAAAACTTTGATGGAGCAAACAAACTTTCCAATCACAGACAGGAAATTGTGGTTTTCAATCAACTGCTGAAATGGTCTCAGTAAATGCAGCGGGAAAAGTCAGAACGCTGTTGACAAAATTGCAGCATTTTTTACCCGTTTTAATTCCATTTCAGCTTGAAAAAAAAAAAAAAAAAATCCTAAAAAAGTCTTAAAAAGTCCTATTGCTGGTCATACAACAATAACATGTAACAATATCAGGCAATATCAGCCACCTTCTATGGCTGGGCGCACACCTTACAACCATCGCAAGACTTTTGTCTTGCGATGGTTGTAAGGTACTTAAAAAAACGTACGATCTGCCTATGTTGCATAGGTTTACCTGAATTGTGGGGTTCTCTGCCCCACCCACATAGCCGCGTTGTCCATTCACAGATTCTTTGACAGAATCATTTGACAATGAGGAAGAATCTGCAGGAGGCAGAGCATTGCACCCGTGATCCACTAAAGAAATCTACAAATAACAAATCTGATCGTTTAGAAAGTTTTGATCTATTTTATGAAAGTAATCGGATTTCATAGATTGAAACTAAAATTGTAATCAGACAATTGATTGAAAGACAGGGTCCCCCCTCCAGCAGTCTGATAGAAAGTAATCTGATGTTGCCCAAAAGTTGATAGAACATAATGATGAAATAATGGAATTCTTTTTCAGTTTTTATGATAAACTAAATCAAACAATCAGATTGCTACAATATATTGGTCATACACACTACAATTTGTGGGTGGGTGCAATGCACAGGCTTATCCTCTTCCTCAATTTCTGTTATGGGGCTGGAGGAAGTAATGAATCACCTACAAGTGTGGTGGCATCACTGCCTGGCGGAGTCCCTCTGCTGCAGTGGCAGATGGGACTTGTAGTATACTCAGTGGTGGATTCCTGTAGCACAGATGGACCGTTTTGGTTGCATCCCTCTGTTGCAGTGGCAGATGGGACTTGTAGTATACTCAGTGGTGGATTCTTGTGGCACAGTTGGACAGTTTGGGCTGAGTGCCTCTGCTGCAGTGGCAGATGGGACTTGTAGTATACTCAGTGGTGGATTCCTGTAGCCCAGCGGGACAGTTTTGGTTGCGTCCCTCTGTTGCAGTGGCAGATGGGACTTGTAGTATACACAGTGGTGGATTCCTGTAGCCCAGCGGGACAGTTTTGGTTGCATCCTTCTGCTGCAGTGGCAGATGGGACTTGTAGTATACTCAGTAGGCGATGTAGTATACTCATAGGCGATGCTTTAATAGCTTTTACCGCTCATCAGTTTAATGTTATTGGTGATTGATGGCCCTAAAATTATTGCTCACGATCCGACGTTCGCGGTGATATGTAACATGTCCGGCACAATGGGCACATTCGTTGTTTTTGCACGTAGGCGCACCTGACGCATGTTTACGCGTGTACGTGGGGGACTTTTACATTTTTTGGTGTTTTTTTTATATGTGATTTTATTTTATTTTAATGCTTCTTTCATTTTAAAATCTTTTTTTTTTTTACAATTAAAGTGACATTAAAGTCAGAATTTTTTCCCCCTTCCCAATCCTGCTGCTTACCTTAAAGTATAATTAAAGCCACGGGTGTTTTTGTATATATATGAGGCTAGCAAGCAGTAGATATATGCAAAAAGTGTAAAAAAAAAAACTCGCTTTGAAAAGGGTTAATACTTACCCGTCTCTTCCCCGCACGCTCCCGTCCGAAAATGTGAAAAATCTTGTTTGGCCGTAAAGCATCTTGGGGCGGGCGCATGCGCATACCACATTTTCGATCAGATCCTTTGTGGCTTGCTAGCAGTAGATATATGCAAAAACCGCTGAGGGTTTAATAACCCTTTAACTTTATTGCTATCACATAGAGGGCTAAGAAGCCCCCTTTGTGATAGCCACTCTAAGTGACAGGTCCTCTTTATGGAGACATCAGGGGTCTTAGAGACCTAGGGGCCCCCAGAGAAGCTGCTATAGCAGAGATTGGCTTCATTACTTCCTGCATTCTGACACCAAAGAGGATTTCCAAATGCTCTGATGCCTAGCCTGATACCCGAACTTCTGGTATCAGGAAGCTGGGCAGCAAGTCATTTCCCGCTGCCCGTGTTCCTGATTGGCCCCGAAGCTGGCTCCATGCTCCCCGGCCAATCAGGATGCCAGGCAGCATGTAATAATTCGTCGTCTAGCTTCCCGATTGGTCAGGAAGCTGGCCAATTAGGAAACCGGTTGGCGAGTCATTACCCACCCCCCTGGCTTCCATGTAATGACTCTTTACATGCCACCCGGCTTCCCAGCTAATCAGGAAGTCAGGTGGCAAGTCATTACACGCCACCTGGCTTCCTTAATGGAACTTCCAGTATCGGTGAGTACCGCACAATTTTTTTTTATGTACTCGTAACCGAAAAACTGGTATTGGTGCATCCCTAGTCTCTACAGATGCCAGCATGCTTGTATTTAAACAGCCATCACCGGCTGTTTACATTTAGGTCACAGTCACACCATAAAGAGTGCGTTCCAGTGCATTCGGCCTCTGGAACGCAACCTGGCCGGCTTACGTTGTTTTGGGGCGGGAGGGGGTGTGGCGGTGCATTACAATCAATGACACCAAAGCCACACCCCCGGCCACAATGCGATCGCTGGCACCCAAACACATGGCACATTAATGCCTGTGTTCCAGTCCAGTGCCATCTGCAAAAAATAGTGCATTCTCCTGCCTTCTCCACGCTTCACCTTTTCGTGAATAGCTCTGTATGTGTCCTGTATTACAAGTTTAGTTTTGCAGTCACTTCATTGCCTGGGTGCTGAAGAAATGAAGCCATACATGTCAGGCCTGCACCTTCCCTCCATGAGCTGCAGTGGAATGTGAGATGAATGGGGCTCAGGGTTGTGTATGGCTTTTTTATTGTCCAGCAACAACACTCCCCCACCCAGCCCTGTTCCTCAGTGCAATGAATGCAGCAGCCATCCTCCAGTGCCCCACACACCGTGTGAGCAGCTCTAATAGCCGTGTGACGGGGGCTCGGCCAGCACTCAGCTCTCGGCCAGCTTCACACAGGGGAGGCTGAAATCTTCCCAAACATGCTCACACGCACATGGCAACAAGCCGACTGCCCATCAGAAACATGGCCCCCGTAACCCCGCCTACGTGCCGACGTCCCATCTCCAAGCGACCAATCGGGCGGCGCGCTGTGGCCATTGAGTGACAGCTGCACAAAGGCTAGGGAGTGTGTCAGAACCGGCGCATGCGCGTTGGGCCCAGCCAGCGCATCTGCCCCGTCCCCTCCCACCACCGCTGCCTGCGTCTCCCTCGCCTTGTGCAGCCAGCGAGTCTGTCCAAACGGCGGAGGAAGGAAGACGGGGCATCGACGGGGAGGAAAGCAGAGACATGACAACTAGCTGCGGTGCCTCCGACTCCAGGCAGTCCCCGGGTACCCTGATTGTGTGATCGCCGAGCCGGCTCTGCATTGCACGGAAGACTCCTATCGCTCGGTGTGTGTGCGCGCTTGGTGAGTGATTGCACGACCCCGGGCAGCAGCATGAGCGCGGAGGGATACCAGTACCGGGCCCTGTTCGCTTACAAGAAGGAGCGGGACGAGGACATTGACCTGCGGGTGGGGGACATTCTGACCGTCAACCGCGGCACCCTGGTGGCCCTAGGTTGCGGGGACGGCGGCGAGGCCAGACCCGAGCAGATCGGATGGCTGAACGGCTACAACGAGAACACGGGCGAGAGGGGCGATTTCCCGGGCACCTACGTGGAGTATATCGGCAGGAAGAAGATCAGCCCCCCGACACCCAAACCCCGGCCCGCCAGACCATTGCCAGTGGCCCCCGGGACCACCCGGACCGAGGCCGGAGCAGATTCGCAGGGTGAGTGCGATGCATCGTCTGGTGTGTGTGTGCTCACATCGCCTCTTGAGGATACAACTTCCATCAGTTAGTCTGGAGCAGTCAGCGTGTCTGACAGTTCATGAGATCGGTGCACATTGTATGGTGTGTGCTGAGATCGCACTGTACCTGCACCTACTGCTTTATGATCAATCTGGTCCACCGATTGCATGGTGGATTGGGGTATTGGCTGATGTCTTGTTCATTGCTTTGTGATCTAATGCAGATATCAATCAAAGATGTGATTGCAAATCTCTAAATGATCGATAAAAGCGATGAGTTCATAGGTAGGCGATGAGTTCACCGCCACGGCCAAGCGATGCGGCAAAGTGTAAATCGATGGGGAGCGCTCTACGTTGATTGATCGGGGGTCTCTGGTTTGCAGCTCTTCTTTGATATGACCTGTTGGCCGGTATAATGACACCCATACTTGTGGCAGCCGGTGACATTGTACAATCTGTTAGTATGGGGCAGACCTACGATTGCATGGCTCTGATTGCTATGTGTGCTGTATGTGCATTCAATATGGTGCAGAAATCTGTTACAATCACCATGCAAGAAAAGATTGCATAGTGTATGGTCACATAGGCAATCGTACGATTTCTCTCGTCAGTAGATATCTGATCTGCATGGAGCTGACATTGGGTCCCCCCAGGATTGCAGATTGCTGTGTGCTGGCAACGCTGATCACACTTCCCTTGGCAGGGAATGTCTGCAATCAGCCATGTGAGGTGCCCGTTTATCATAACAAACGTCAAGTTTTCTTAGATACTCCCCAAAAAGTTGTGCCTTGTCTCTGCTCTGAGATGGTTGTCATGGAGGATGCTGTCACACTTGGCAACAGATGGCAATCACTGCTCTGCGATTGGTTGTCATGGAGGATGCTGTCACCCCCGGAAACCAGATGGCAGCCTGGGGTAGTCGCATCTCTACATTGCATGCTGTCAGTGAGTGCCAGGCTGCACATCTTCCTCCGAATCTGAGAGATGAAACATTCTAATAAGATGTAACCTTTGCAGAAATGTTCATTTGTCATTTGTTGAATGATGACAATGGAACTTCCTGTCTAGTGGCCCCATAACCCACACAAGTATGGAAGTACTCCATGGATGTTGAGAAAGTGGCAGATCACCATCTGTGTGCCAGGGAGTGCTCGGCGACTTTGTGGAGTAGTAATTATCAGATCCGATATAGGGATCGACTTTTAGGAACTATATATCTATGTTTACAGATCCCAGGAGCCAGGTCGCCAATGCTTTACAATGACAGCTGGCACCTAACTTTTGAAGTTTTCTCTAGTTGTCAATGGAGGTGGCTGTTGACTCCACGATTGGCCAGACTGGCTACCGAATTCCATATGAATTTGCTCACCTTGTGTGTTGACATTGAGGTACCAATCAATACATCAGACCATGCATATATATATAATTTATATTTATGACCTGGGTCCTAATTACCAGTTGAGCACCTCTGGGCATCTTTGATATTAGTGGCGCAGTTCTCCTTGTCTCAAGTCGTCACATATATGCCGCTGATGAGTTTATTGATGTCTATCGAACCTCCAGCTGAGCACTAACTACTAATCCCAGCATGCATCTGCCTCTGGGAGTCATGTCTGTGGCTCTCAGTCTTGCAATGCCTCATGGGACTTGTAGTTCTATAAAAGCTGCATAACGCACACAAGGATGGCAGTTGTTGGTCAAGCACTTCTGGCCATCCTCTATGGTGTGGTTCCCCTTGTAGCAAGTCTTCACATCTATGCTGCTGATGGTTATATCAGGGGTGGCAAACTCCGGCGCTCCAGCTGAGCTCTAACTACTAATCCCATCATGCATCTGCCTCTGAGTCTTGCAATGCCTCATGGAACTTGTAGTTTCACAAAAGCTGGAGTTTCCCACACCTGGCCCATATGTTGGCTCTATAACCCACACAAGTATGGCAATCATCGGTCACAGACTAATTGCCCGTTTAGCACCTCTGACCATCCTCGATATTCATGACGCGGTTCCCCTTGTAGCAAGTTGTCACATCTATGCCGCTGATACAGTTATTGATGTCTATAGACGCTCCTATATACCGCTGATACAGTTATTGATGTCTATAGACCCTCCTATATACCGCTGATAGTTATTGATGTCTATAGACCCTCCTATATACCGCTGATACAGTTATTGATGTCTATGGACGCTCAAATATACAGATGATAGTTCTTGATGTCTATGGAACCTCCTTTATGCCGCTGATAGTTATTGATGTCTATAGACCCTCCTATATACCGCTGATACAGTTATTGATGTCTATGGACGCTCAAATATACAGATGATAGTTCTTGATGTCTATGGAACCTCCTTTATGCCGCTGATAGTTATTGATGTCTATAGACCCTCCTATATACCGCTGATACAGTTATTGATGTCTATGGACGCTCAAATATACAGATGATAGTTCTTGATGTCTATGGAACCTCCTTTATGCCGCTGATAGTTATTGATGTCTATAGACCCTCCTATATACCGCTGATACAGTTATTGATGTCTATGGACGCTCAAATATACAGATGATAGTTCTTGATGTCTATGGAACCTCCTTTATGCCGCTGATAGTTATTGATGTCTATAGACCCTCCTATATACCGCTGATACAGTTATTGATGTCTATGGACGCTCAAATATACAGATGATAGTTCTTGATGTCTATGGAACCTCCTTTATGCCGCTGATAGTTATTGATGTCTATAGACCCTCCTATATACCGCTGATACAGTTATTGATGTCTATGGACGCTCAAATATACAGATGATAGTTCTTGATGTCTATGGAACCTCCTTTATGCCGCTGATAGTTATTGATGTCTATAGACCCTCCTATATACCGCTGATACAGTTATTGATGTCTATGGACGCTCAAATATACAGATGATAGTTCTTGATGTCTATGGAACCTCCTTTATGCCGCTGATAGTTATTGATGTCTATAGACCCTCCTATATACCGCTGATACAGTTATTGATGTCTATGGACGCTCAAATATACAGATGATAGTTCTTGATGTCTATGGAACCTCCTTTATGCCGCTGATAGTTATTGATGTCTATAGACCCTCCTATATACCGCTGATACAGTTATTGATGTCTATGGACGCTCAAATATACAGATGATAGTTCTTGATGTCTATGGAACCTCCTTTATGCCGCTGATAGTTATTGATGTCTATAGACCCTCCTATATACCGCTGATACAGTTATTGATGTCTATGGAACCCCCTATATACCGATGATACAGTTATTGATGTCTATGGACGCTCAAATATACAGATGATAGTTCTTGATGTCTATGGAACCTCCTTTATGCCGCTGATAGTTATTGATGTCTATGGAACCTCCTTTATGCCGCTGATAGTTATTTATAGACCCACCTATATACCGCTGATAGTTATTGATGTCTATAGACCCTCCTATATACCGCTGATACAGTTATTGATGTCTATAGACCCTCCTATATACCGCTGATAGTTATTGATGTCTATAGACCCTCCTATATACCGCTGATACAGTTATTGATGTCTATGGAACCCCCTATATACCGATGATACAGTTATTGATGTCTATGGACGCTCAAATATACAGATGATAGTTCTTGATGTCTATGGAACCTCCTTTATGCCGCTGATAGTTATTGATGTCTATGGAACCTCCTTTATGCCGCTGATAGTTATTGATGTCTATAGAACCTCCTATATTTTGGCTCCATAGCGGGCACAAGTTTGGCGCTCATGTGTCCGTGTTGATGGTGTTCTGTTCTATGTTTATAGAAACATTAGACTGGACTCAAATTTAGAAACAATGTTTACAAACATTTATAGAGTGTCTATTGCCGCTGTAGCAGTTGCTCAATGTACCAGCGGTGGATCTCTGATTACAGGAGCCGTGAACTCCTTCGTACTAATGGCATTGACACATGACATCTGTAGGCCGCCCGTCTGACCCGTATCACAGGCCACTAGCGGCCATTGAATGGCTCGCATATTAAAGCTTCTACTTGGTAATTTAATATGCAAATCTAGGTGTCTGCGTGAGACGCGGTGTCTGTACTTTCTGTGCGATCTTTCATCTGAACCATATTTATATAGGCTTTGTTGTAGACATTCTTGAACTGAACTGTGAAGCCGTGGAATGTGCTAGCCTTGCACAAAGAAGGGCCAGTTCCTGTAGTTGGCTATTGATTTATTTTTTCTCTTCCTTTTTCCTGCGCTGCCTGCAGAACTGCGAGCTTTGTGTAGAAGACAATGAAGCAGAGACCTATTCTGTTATCCTTCCCATTCAGGGTGGATGGGTGACACCAGCAAGGCTTTCTGCCTTGTAAAACGGTAGAAAGCACATTGAACGCTATAGGCGGCTTTGATGTTTAACATGATCGCAGCTTCTCCTCCCCGTTTCATTTTAGACTCTTGTCAGCCGCCATGGTTTAAAGTAAAAGCTGTCAGTGCCGCCACTTATAAAAGTCAGCAATGCAAAGTTTTCCTAGGAAGTGGAATGCAGCTTCCGAAGGCATCATGCATGCCTTTTGCTATATTGAGGGGAACAGCTTGACTTGGCTTGTGTGCATTGTGAGGCGGAAGAGGCACGCTATGGGGACAGGCTCCTATGCAACGTTTAGTACATTACAGGCTTCTTTACACATCATCTTCTCTGTAATAAAGGAGCAGATGTGCTTGCGTGATTATTTTTTAGAGTTTGCCGACTTGTTACCAAGTTGCTAAAAACTTTTCCGCTGAAGCGTTTGAGGTATGCGTGGTTTTGCAAGGCGCTCTCCCCCATCTATGTGTTATAAAGTATGTATTTTGGCCACATATCTTCCAGTTCCGGTGCTGATCTTTTAGTTTTAGTTACATTACAGCATGTATGGCTTTGCATTGATGAACGTTTGATGTTGCAAAACTTTTATTTGTTGTATTCACTTTGCAATTATGCCTGCAGCCATTGCA